CACCCGGCGGTTCAATTCATTGATCTGCCTCTGGAGATCCATGAGCTTCGCATCTCATGGATCAGTGACTGCGGCCGTGGGGGTTACCAAAGCCAAGGTATTCCTCGCACACACAACATCAGTGTCGTGCTTCCTGTTGATGATGTGGGCCTCCTGCCTCAAGCCGTTAATCATGGGGGTCTGCTCCCTGACCGCATGATCATTACGGGGCATCACCGAGGTGCGGTCCCAGACCGCATGCTACTGTGCTCCAAGAGGCCCAATAAGAAGTCTCCTGCTATGCTATGAGCTGTTACGATGCTATAATATTAGAGTAGTGCTAAGTTGCCAACCCATTACAATGAAATAAATGCTACTATTATACCGCCAATGGGTAGTTAGATGCGTTGACGTGGCGGGCTGTGGATGGCTTGATTCCAACCAACAAATCTTCTGCATTAAATGCGCAACCACAAAATCTTCTGCATTAAATGCGCTTCCCGCCAGGATCTTGGCCTCCCGTCAAGAGGTGTGGACGTTCGTCCCCATGAGCTTGCCTCATGTTTCCTGCTGGGCCCAAAGTCCTGCGAGACGTGCGTCAGTCGCTGCCCCTGGGTCAAAGCACCTGCAAATGCTAGAATACGGATGTCTCCTGGGCCTTGGTGTTGAGGCTTGGCCCTGTTGGATACGAACCTCGCCAGGATAAGCAGAAAGGTAACTCGCTGTCTCGTGCCTTCTGGGGATGTTCGTTGGGCGGGTCTTGAGGGTTTTATGGATCAACCCCCGTTGGACCATTAACCCAACAATAACTATTAAAATGACAATTTTATACTGACTCCGTCCCATAAATTTTGTCATATTGATTTTTCTTTGTTAATGATGGTCAAGTTTGAGCAACTATATTTTTTAATACGAAACTACTTAAATTAGGAAAATGATATGAACATGTTTTTTAAGAATGCTTTCATAAAAGTATAAAATTATAAATCTCGCACAAATATAATAGTTAAAATCATTTTTCATTTTTTTCATCATTGACTAAGAAAAGTCAATTTGATCAAATTTTGTGGGAGGAATCGCGTATATAAAATTTGATTTTTAAATTAAATTTACTCAATTCTAACTAAATTAAGATTCTATTAAATTAACTAGTTTTTTTAGTTCACTTTACAATTAAAATTTGGTTTTCTTAACCTTTTGGTTTTGGAATCTGCACATCAAAATAATTTTAAAAAGCATGTTAAGAAAAAGGCTAAGAAACGAAAAACATAAATACAAAGTACTATAATTTTTCTTTAAATATTATTTGTATATAAAACTTATAGATAAATAAGTGACCAAAATTACTATAATTATACCAGGATCGTCTAATGAATTTGGAGGTCCCGGTTCCAAATGACGAATTAAGGCCCTCCAAAATAAGATAAAATACAAAATTTAACAATGAAATACAAACAGGCTAGATAGTTCAGTGAAATATAGTCCGTATGTTTTATAGTATTTAAAGTACACAAATTAGACAATCTAAAAGTTATATAAATTTTGGAATTCTGAATAATACATGACATCTAGAAAAATCAACATATAACTAATATTACATACTAAATTTATGGAGGCCCCTTACAAGAGTGGGTCTCGGTGGCAAGCATCTATTGCACCTTCTAAAAGACGACTCTGAATTATACCATCATGGTACTACATTGTGAAATACTATCTCCATCTCAAAAAAAGTGATCAAATTGATTTTTTTGTTAATGATTTTAAAGTTTAGACAATGATTTTAGATATTATATTTTGTGTGATTTATAAATTTTATACTTTTATGAAAGTTCTTTTAATAAAAAAGATGTCAACATTCTATGAACATAATTATAGTCACTATTAATTACTAAATCATACTTTTATTTTTGTCTTTTTATTAATACTCCCTCCGTCCCACTATAATGGTACCTCTCCGATTTACAATGCTTGACCGATGATAAAGCAAACTGATCCCTGTCTGTACTCAAATTATTTTTAGAAAAAAAATTACATATTCAGAAACTACATTAAAAGTTTTACAAAATCGCAAAAACCAGAATTAAATTTGATAAAAATTTGATACTACATACTTCGTATATAAAGTAAGAGATTAAGAGTGATTTGTGTTCACCAAGTGAATAACACTGAGACAATAATAGTGGAACGGAAGGAGTAATATTTTAAAAAAAAACTTTTTATTTGTTTTTTGATATATATTGGTCATTGTTTCAAAATAATACGGAGTAAACCAAGGGCGTCGATGTGTGCTACCCCTATTGACTCTTGGGGAGAGGAAAGGCTTTGGTCGCATGTGCGGAACAAGGAAGCAATTGACCATGGGTCCCAACAAAAATAAAATCTTAATTTTCTTTAATTGTTTTATCTTTTTAATTTTTACTCTAAATTTTACTAAATATATATCAAAATTCATAATTTTTTGTGACCTTTCATATGACACTAGTCATGGATCTATACAGTTAAAAAAAATCAAGTGCAAGAGACTATCTGATCCAATTTTATTGTTAAGTTGTTGAAAATGTTTAAATTAATATCTGATGATTAAAGTATTGTTTACATCTCTTTTTATTATCATAATCAATATTATGTGTGTTTCTAATATTTGTTTGTTAGTATTTCAACTTTACAACATATGTTTCAATTGATTTATCGAGTTTCCCCCCGGAATAATGCTAATTAAATAAATCATTCCAGAAATACTGTCGGGTTAAGAATAATTCTCAAAATATTGCTGGAATTAACCACGGTTAAGGAAAGCCGCCACTCCAAGTGACGGCTCTTGTATTACTTCACAAAAACCGCTACTCCGAGTGGAGGCTCTTGTATTACTTCACAAAAGCCGTCACTCCGAGTGGCGGCTCTTCTCTTATAGTACAAAAGCCGCCACTTCAAGTGGCGTCTCTTCTCTTACGTTCCATTTTGTACATATATAAAACACAGTATGTTTCAAGAATTTGTTTATCTGCCTTCCCGATTGAATTTTGAGCTGAAATTTAGTATTCATAAACTAGACTTGATGATAAACATGCTCAAAAAATTTCATCAAAAAATTCCACCGGAAACACCCTCTGATGGTGTTGTCCGCGGGGGGTTCCCGTCAGGACGTCATGACAAAAGAGTGGTCCGGCCACCTCAATTTGAGGTTGAACCCGGTGGTATGTTTTGATGAATTTTTTTGTATGTTCTTAATAAAGTCTAGTTCAGTCATACCAAATTTGAGCAAAACATTCAATCCGAAAGACCGTCAAATGATTTTTGAAAGATAACTACGCCGGATTATACATATAAAATGCAGTTATCTTCAAAAAATCATTTGACTGCTTTCCTGATTGATATTGGTTCTGAAATTTGATATGGATTAACTAGACTTGATGAATATTATACACAAAAAAAATCAGCAAAATATCCCACCGGGAATCACCTCAAATTGAGGTGACCGTACCACCCTTTTGTCATGACACCCTGACCGGAACCTCCCGCGGACAACATCATCAGAAGTTGTTTCCGGTGGAATTTTTTGACGATTTTTTTAACCATGTTCCTCATCAAGTCTAGTTTATTCCTACCAAATTTCAGCTCAAAATTCAATCAGAAAGGCAGTTAAACAAATTCTTGAAACATACTGCGATTTATATATGTACAAAATGAGACGTAAGAGAAGAGCCGCCGCTTGAAGTGGCGGCTTTTGTACTATAAGAGAAGAGCCGCCACTCGAAGTGGCGGCTTTTGTGAAGTAATACAAGAGCCGCCACTTGGAGTGGTGGCTTTCCTTAACCGTGATTAATTCCAGCAGTATTTTGGGAATTATTCTTAACCCGACGGCATTTCGAGAATAATTTATTTAATTAGCATTATTCCGGATAAAATCTCTGATTTATCTCAATATTCAACAAGTACATAATATTAAAAATTAATAATATAGCAATATAGAAAATAACGTAATATTGTGTATTTTATTGAAATTTATTTCAAATTTAACTCAAGCGTGCATTTTTATACTAACAAAAATTAATTCACATTTTTATTTTTTTATATCGAAATATTTGACTTTTAAAATCATATTTATTGATAAAAATAAATTTGTCTCATAAATGACGTCTAATAAAAAAAGTGAGAGTTTATCCATTAATTAAAACAAAATCGTGTTGAGTGAATATATCGATGATGATGGATTGCAGGAAAAAACTGAATGGACAGGACGAATACGTATAAACAAATAGAGAATTAAATATATTGATAGGGTGAGTTTCGGTTAGCATGATAACCAGTAAAAACATAAATGCAAAATTATAGTATCTTCTTGTCGCGCTACTCAGGGGCGGACCCACCCTAGGGCTAGGGGGTGCCCGTGCCCCTGCGGTCCGAACGCCGTCCGAACACCGCCTTTTGGGGCGGTTCCAGGTGGAATTTTTTGATGAACTTTTTTGAACATGTTCCTCATCAAGTCTAGTTTATCCATACCAAATTTCAGGTCAAAATTCGACCGGTTAGTCAGTCAAATAATTCGTTGAAGTTAACTACGTTTTCTATGTATAATTTGGCGCAGTTAACTTCAACGAATTATTTGACTGCCTTCCCGATCGAATTTTGAGCTGAAGTTTGGTATGGATAAACTAGACTTGATGAGGAACATGCTCAAAAAATTTCATCAAAATATTCCGCCGGGAACCGCCTCAAACGCCGGTGTTCGGACGGCGTTCAGACAGAAAAGTGCTGGACAGAAAAGTTATGCCGATTGAGACTTATGATATTAATATTAGAGATGAGTTGAGAAGACGTTATTTGAGAAAAGGTCCTTGCCAACCGCGTGACTTTAAATTTACACAAAGTGATTTTAATGGATGCAACAGATCATTCCAAAAACAGTGGTTTTATTTAAATTTTATAGTTTTGTTTATTACTATACTCGTGATTCATATGATTTTTTTCTAGTTCGGCCGTAGGCGCTACTCACTACTCCGTACTTACTACTCACTGGGTCTGGTAAGGCTTTACCCGGCTGTTGTGGTGGTTTTGAAGTACAAATTCGAACGGTGCAGTAAAAACTCAAAAGGTGGACTGCAGAGATTCAAGAGAAGAGGCAAAACAAGATTCATAGTCGTCTAAAGTCTTTGAAGCATTCTTCTAGGCTTTCTGGAAAGGTAAAACCGGTCGTTTCAAATTGATTCTCCCGATTGCAATCCCATCCAATCCTTTTTAGAATCTTTTCCCACGTTTTGCTCTTCTTCTCTTTTCAAAGAAAAAGAGTCCAGTTTGAGTAAAAATTTGCTTGCTTCATTCACTTCTTCTGCTGCTGCTGCATTTAGATTGTACTATGAAACTTAGTGATGAGTTTTTATCTTCACAGTTCCAAGAAGGCTTCTTTTGTTGATTCTTGAAGCCTCCCAAGTCCCACCATAGATTTAGATTGCCTTAAACAAAACCATTGTTTTTGGGATGGCAAAGATTCCACCTTTTTCTCTGGAAATGCTGAATCTTGGATGACATGTTTTCAAGCCCTTACTCAAGCAAGATAGATGATGTTCCGGAAAAGTGTGAATTTTTTAAATGTTATTTTAATGGCATTATTTTTAATTTTTTTTAAATGGCTCCGCTCAGTCTTCTTTCATTTTCTAGATCTAATAAGTTGCTTCATTCATCTTTCCATAAAGTTCTGAATTTTTTAAAAACATTTCCATTCATATTCGTTCACTCATTAATGCTTCTGGGTTTCAATGGTACTGTGCACCCTTACCAATAATGTTTCAAAGGATTCCTAATAAAAACAAAAACATGAAAGGAAGTACTCCACAGTCCACACAGATCATCTTCATCATCATTATCCGTATAAATCTTGTACTCACAAGAGTTGCCAACTACTTGTGTAGGAAAGTTCCGATCGGTCTTCAGGCATTCCTTCACGAATATGATGGTCGGAGGGCCGAGAAACAGCATCTGATAAAACTGCCGTCACGGCCGCCCACTGGGCCTTCCATAGTTCCATGACTCCATCAGAGTCAAGTTTTCTCTGCCTCTGCTATGTTTCCGCTATCTCCTATCCTCTTTCTTCCGCTCCTATCTAGCGTAGCAGGTAAGTTTTTTTGTATCCTTTTATTCTTTCTTCTCTTTATTCTTAATTTCATAAATTATCAAATAGTTAAAATTATTTATAAGTAAATATATGACCATATATCAATCTGCCCCTAAACCTGATTTAATTTTATGATTGGCCATAGGTGTTTAATGTGTTTGCTGCTACTGTCTGAATCAACATTTTGTTTGATTTAAGGTGTTTATTAGATTGTTTAATGGTTTAAGGTATTTTGGTGATGTTATCATTTTTTGAGAAGAGAGCTTCATGTAGAATTAGTATAAATATGTTTTAACAAAGTTATACAGTTAAGTTCCGTGAGGCGCGCGCCTTCGCCTCTCACCTCGCACCTTGGGTAAATTATTCCAAAACGCCTCATGCTGCCTCGCGCCTTTTAAAACCAAGGGTATATGTTTCCCTTCTCCTAAATTCCAAGGGGGAAATTGTACATTTTCCTTTTTAGAAAAACTTTCTTTTGATTTAAATTGCCTAAACCTTTCCATAAAGTTCTGATTTTAAAAAAGATTTCTGCTCTTTCTTATTAATACAGTTTTTGTGTATTCAAAGTTCAAACACAGTATTAAGTACATATTCAATATTCACTCGTTGGTTGATGTATATGGCCATATGGGGCATGGTTTACTTTCCTGAGTTTGGTTCTCGAGTTGCTAGTTTCATTATGTTAGTTGCTATAGTGGAGAAGTGTGCTATAGTTCTTTTTTATCCTGTGAATAGTGTTCTTTATGCTCATACCGTCTCCTGTTTTCCTTTTGGTAATAACAAAAGAAAACTACATTCATTAGTCAATGGCTTTTGAAATTTTGGTGAGATGCTTCATACTGTATTACTGTTTTTCCCTGTGCGTTTTAATTAAAAATCAAACCTTTTTAACATCCTTATTCATTTCAGGTCATTTCCTTCCCCGTGAAGACTACATTTAATCTAATTTTCGTCAATGATGGGGAATATCTGAGCAAAAATGGATCTCTGTGAAGACAGTTCAAGGTTCGGGTCATTCCCAGCCTTAACTTCGAGAAACCCCTCATCTTCATCATCAGCATTCTTTTCAGCAAATCAGTCACCTTTCATCTCTCCCAGATCCCCAAAAGGACCTTTACCCCCAGATATTAATCCGGGGATGATTTTGGAAAATGCTCAATTATCTGCCGATTCTTGTCCCACCACCACTACTAGTAATAATAATAACAACATTCAAAAGACGGATTTTGGTTTAATATCTTCTACGTCCATCTCCAACAGCCCAGTGTCAACTTACAACGTTGACTATGAATACGAAGAACATATGAGGAGGAGACATAGAGGAAAGCAGAAATATATGGATAAAGCGTATGAGACTTCAGTCACTCCAACCTCCACATCTTCTCTCTCGAGTCGAGTGAAGAGTTGCGATGTGTATATAGGCTTCCATGGCAAGAAATCTTCATTGTCAAGATTTACAAACTGGCTTCGCGCTGAGTTGGAGTTTCAAGGGGTAAGTTGCTTTGTGACAGACAGAGCAAAGTGTAAGAGTACGAGGAAGCATAGCATGATAGACAGAGTGATGGACACGTCCGCGTTTGGGGTTGTCATCTTAACCCGGAAGTCATTTCGGAACCCGTACACCATCCAAGAGCTCCGTTTTTTCTCCAGCAAGAAGATTTTGGTTCCGATCTACTTTGATTTGGGTCCGGATGATTGTCTTGTGAGAGACATAATTGAGAGGAGAGGGGAGCTATGGGAAAAGCACGGCGGGGAGCTTTGGGTCCACTATGGCGGCCCTGAGAAGGAATGGAGAGATTCCTTGAACGCCCTTTCACGCGTAGATGAGTGGAAACTTGAGGCCCACGATGGGAAGTGGAGGGAATGCATTCTTAGGGCTGTCACGCTTTTGGCCCTAAGGTTAGGGAAGAGAAGCATTGTCGACAGGCTGACAAAGTGGAGGGAGAATGCAGAAAAGGAAGAGTTCCCTTTTCCGCGAAATGAGAATTTCATTGGCAGAAAGAAGGAATTGTCCGAACTTGAGTTCCGTCTTTTTGGGGATGCAAGTGGGGATATAGAGGCACGATTTTTCGAACTGCCGAGGCGTAAGAATCTGACAATCCGTAGTAGGAGTAGGAGTAGCTCATTCGAAGAAATTAGGCGGAAGAAGGGGAAGGAGCCTATGGTTTGGAAAGAATCTGAGAAAGAGATTGAAATGCATAATGCTGATTTTGTTTCTCAAAAAACCGCACAAAAAACAAAGATTTTCCGGAAACATGGGCGGCGGAAGAGATCCATGAAAGTTGTGTATGGTAAGGGAATCGCTTGTGTGTCGGGTGAATCAGGTATCGGGAAAACTGAACTGCTTCTCGAGTTTGCTAACCGGTTCCATCAGCGGTACAAGATGGTTCTTTGGATTGGGGGTGAGAGTAGATTTATCAGACAGAACTATTTGAATCTTTGGCCGTTTCTAGAAGTTGACGTAGGGGTGGAGGGCTCGCCTGAGAAGAGCCGGATGAAGAGCTTTGAGGAGCAAGAGGAGGGCGCAATAAGTAGGGTCCGCAAGGAACTCATGAGAAGCATCCCTTTTTTGGTCATAATTGATAACTTGGAGAGTGAAAAGGATTGGTGGGACCGTAAGCTTGTGATGGATCTTCTTCCCCGTTTCGGCGGAGAGACACATGTCATTATCTCAACACGTCTCCCACATGTGATGAACCTTGACCCTATCAAACTAGGCTACCTGTCTGAAATAGAGGCAATGTCTTTAATGCAGGGTGGCACTATCAAGGATTACCCAATCACTGAAATCGACGCTCTCCGGAGCATTGAGGAAAAACTGAAAAGGTCAACCTTGGGTCTTGCTATTATCGGGTCGATCCTCTCTGAACTTCCCATAACCCCGACCCGACTGTTGGACACCATAAATCGCATGCCCTCAGTGGATGTGATTTCCAGTGACAGAAGAGAGACCATAAACCATCCGTTAAGGCAAAATGTCTTCCTTTTAAAGCTCTTAGAGGTTTGTTTCTCTATATTCGATCATGCCGACAGGCCGAGAAGTTTGGCGACCAGAATGCTTTTGGCAAGTGGTTGGTTTGCACCATCACCGGTCCCGGTCCCACTTCTAGCTGCAGCTGCTCATAGAATACCAGAGAAACACCCGAGCCAAAAGAAGTGGAGGAAAGTCATAGGCGCCTTATCATGTGGTCTCACCCCAACACACCCTAAGAAATCCGGAGTGGATGCATCGTCATCTATGCTGCTTAGGTTTAACATAGCGAGGCGTTGTACGAAGGAAGGGTACATTCAATTCCATGAGCTGGTCCGACATTATGTCCGGAAGAGAGGAATTGATGCGCAGGTCGCGCAAGCCACTGTTCAGGCGATCATTACCCGCGGTTCGATATACGACCACTCTGAACACATATGGGCTGCGTGTTTTCTACTTTTCGGGTTCGGGAGCGACCCCATGGTCGACGAGCTCAAAGTGACAGAACTTTTGCTTCTTGTCAAACAAGTCGTTATGCCGCTTGCTGTTCGAACATTTATCACGTTCTCACGCTGCGGTGCGGCTCTTGAGCTGCTCCGGCGGTGCACGGATGCATTGGAAGCAGCGGATCAGGCGTTCGTTACGCCTGTTGAGAAGTGGTTGGATAAGTCGCTTTGTTGGAGACCGATCCAAACCAATGCCCAGCTGAACCCTTGTCTTTGGCAGGAGCTTGCTTTGGCGAGGGCGGCTGTTCTTGAAATCCGGGCCAAACTGATGATGAAAGGCGGTCAGTTTGACATTGGTGATGATTTGATCCGGAAGGCGATATTCATTAGAACCTCTATCTACGGTGAGGATCATCCTGATACAGTTTCTGCTCGCGAAACGCTTGCTAAAGTCACAAGACTGCTTGCTAATCTTCAACACCATACTTCTTCTCTATAGCATTTTAAATTTTTTGGTAGCTATGCTTAGATTATTTTACATGTAGCAAAATTTTCAGAATAACAACTTCATATACTTCCTAAACTTACAGAAATTCATTTTTGTAGTGAATCACCTTTCTCATTACATATTACTCCGTATGTTTTTCCCCTAGCTGCTGGTGATTTTTTGTTTTTGTTTTCACTGTCTTGGCTTGTTGACCTATTGGCTTGTCACATGATTATTGAAAAGAAGTCAGAATCTGAGAAATATTAGTACTGTAGAGGGCTGTAATATGATTCTAACATGATTTGTTCGACTCTTTTGTGAATTGTGATCTTATTAAAATTAATCATTCTACGTGAATATACATAATACCGTCTGAATTGACTCTATTAATCGAGGAGTATCATATTTTACCAGAACCGTCTGAAAATTCATAACAATTACTATGAGGGTACTGCTAGATTGCACATTATATCGAGTTCTATTTTGTTTGTATTTTATAAAATTTCCTCTAGGAGATTGTTCATTTTCTTTTGTCTGATATGTTCATTCTTTTTGTCAAGACATTCTAACTATTATAGTATCTATTTCATGTTAAGGTTGACATCTTTGAACTGAGATGAGATTTGAATCTGTGACATCCTCCTTGAGAGGGTGACATTAGATCAAGAGATACTTGGTTGTCTGATATGTTCATATGATGTTTATCTTGGTTAGTTTTTGGGAATTTGCCTAAATAAGAGTAAACAAGTCTCCCCCTCACAAAAAAGGTGTAAGAGCACCTCCATCCATGCTCTTTAAAAACGATATTTCTATTACATACTATTGCCACATCACATTTATTCAATGATTTTTAAATTATCTCAAAGTTTAAAACTCATCATCAACAATGATACTCAAATAATTAGTTTTTCTAGGACATGCATTAAATGCAATTTAACTATAATCTAAAATAATCTGGGATGTGAATGTTGATATCGGATTTTCTTTTCAATAATCTCTCTAAAAAATTTCTCACCAACAATGATAATCTTTAAAAAAATCTTACACATCATCCAACTAACTTTAAATAAACTAATGGATAAGGTCCCGAGGATGCTCTAATGACTCAACATGATCGAAAAATAATGTCATTAAAGACAGTAGATGTTGTGATGTTATTACCTAGTTTTGCAGCTATTTTGGAGTAATGGCCCCAACATGACAATAAATATTGTCATGTTACTCCTATTTTGAAGAGAGATCTATATATTTTGGAATTTCAATTTTTTTTTATATCGAGAACTTTATTTTTCTTCCCAAACAATGTCCATAAAATTGAATTCGATCTGTGCCTTGCTACCAAAATAAGGTAGAGTTTCCGGTCAATCATAGTCATTCTATAAAAAATACTCCCTTCATCCTGCAATGAACTTCTCACTTTCCTTTTTTGGATGTCCCAGAAAAAAGTTCTCATTTCCTTAAATGACAAGTTAATCTACATCAAAATAGTGTCAAACAGTGCAAAACAGTGCCAAACTGTGTTGAAACAGTGCAAAATAGTGCCAAGCAGTGTCAAAACAGTGTCAAAAAAGTAAAATTTACCTCATGGTAAGTTTATTTCCTTAATATGTGTATAGGTCAAACTGTGAAATTCATTGTAGGACGGAGGGAGTAGTAATTCAGTCCGAGGTAGATTCGGAAACCTGGGATGTCATAGACGTAAGAGCATTTTTTTGCAAAAGATAACTTAATCAATACTCCCTCCGGTCCTAAATAAACTTCACACTTTGACTTCACACAAATTAAGAAAATAAATTTGACTTTACTTTAGAGTACACTGTTGTGACACTGTTTGACACTGTTTTGCATTGTTTTGTATTGTTTTGATGTAGATAATTTGTCAAATAAGGAAGAGAGAAGAAGTGTGAAGTTTATTTTGGACCTACCCAAAAAGAAAAGTGTGAAGTTTATTTAGGACCGAAGGGAGTATTAAAACTGAGAACCAGATACAAGTTCGCCATCATAAAAGCACCATTGGGGTGAGACTCAGAGCTGCAATCGCGCTTACTAGCGGACCATCTCATTAACCCCGCAATTTGTTAGACTTCATACACAACAATGCTACACCTGCTACTAAACGGGAATTTAAGAAACATAACAGAGTTCTGAAAAAGTAAACAATCAAAGAAGGTACATAATCTAGTTTTTCCAGTCACTGGCAAGGGAACAATGGTTTGACCAGCCTCCGCTAAAGGTAATTCACTCTTATCCTTGCATTCTCCTGCTACTAGCGATGCTGCCCAGACCGCACCGCCACCTCCAAGTTTTTTGGAGTTGCTTCATTCACGTCCATGCTAGCCTGCGCCCCCTCCTTGCTAACCTTCTCAGTGACCCTGTGCTTTCATGGTGCTTCCTGAGTTGTAACAATCTCCTTGCCCTTTGATAGGAGTCCAGTCCTTCCACCATATAGCCCTCCTGGTCACTTATCGTTTTGTCGGGGTCTAATCCCTCATCCCTCCTGTCTCCTATCTTGTTATTGCTAGAAATAAGCCACATGTTGCTCGGATGCGAACCACCGTGCCTCGTATCAGCTCATAGCCATGGCCCATAAGGCTTTTCCCCAATCCATGCTCCATTATGCAGATTAGAGGGGCACAAACGATCAGGATGACCAAGCACCCCACACAAAAAAACAAAAGTTTGAGAGTCTCTCATAGCAAAAGTTTGGCCAAATCCAACTATCTCCCTCCTGTCGAACCTGCAAGCGCCTAACCAAGGACATAGTAATATTAATAGTGACTTTGATGCGCAGTACCAGCCTTTGCTTTTTTCCCAAGAGTAGAGGAGAGCGAACCCGACCCTACCTGATTGCCCTGAACGGATATATCCGATTTTTTTGTTGGGGTCGGAAAACCCAACCCGAAATACCCAAACCCGATCTGATTCTTGCAACCCGAGACTTAAGCGGGTAGCGGGTAGGTTTACCAATTATGCTACCCGACCCGCCCGAAAAACTGAGCTAGGGTAGTATATATACTACTTTGAATTATTATGCATGTTCAAATATCTCAATTATTGTATGCCAATTACCATATTATGCATGTTCAAATATTCCAATTACCGTATTCGTACAACTATAACTTTAAATGTTGTATTGTTATGACTTTAAATGATATTTTGACCAATTATCATTTTATTTATCACAATATTAAATATGTCAATCACCGTTGATGGTACCATGGAACCCGACCATGGCCCAATTATGTGAGTCCGGCCCATAAACGAGATTAACCTTTAACGAGATTAATGATAGATAACCACTGGGTCTAACTAGGAACCAAGCCCGCGAGAAGAACCCACAACCAGGACAGGCTGGAAAGCATGCCTCGAACCTGGGCAGAGTTCTAGTGCGTCTGGGATATTCCTAGGGCTGACGTGGCACACTATCAGTGGAAACCGCAGTTGGTAGAAGTTAAACGGCTGGAACGTGGGATAAATGAACAATCATTGCACAACGGCCGAGACGTTACAAGAGTCCTTTTCGAGCTAATGCATCATTAATAGCATTTATTATATCAGTTTCCTTTTGTAACACTAGTTCCTTAGCCTATAATACAACTTGTAAACCTCCAAAGGGGGGGGGGGGGGGAGACATTGATCAATAAAACACTGCCTTACGCTGCCAAATTATCATCTGCTTCCGTAGATTTAGCTCTTGTTGTTGGATTAAACTCCACCATTTGGTGCTCTCGTTGAGAGCTCGATCTGCGACGAACCATGGTGGGATCTCATAGCCACAACCGTGGAGGCAGCAATCTGGGCGGTAATCGTCACGATCAAGTAGTGATCGAAGATGAAGGCTCTCGGTCACGACGGAGTGACTTTCGAAGGCGTAACGACAACACGGCGGGATTGGAGGACCTGATAAACCGCCTCCAAGACGTTGAGAGTTCTAGGCGGGCGGGAACACGACCACCGCAGTTTCAGACGCCTGGCACTGGGAACCGTATTCTCAATATCGATCCGACTCAGGCCCTAGCCAGTTTGGCAACATTCCAAAGGGCGGTGGAAACCCTGACCACCGCTTTCCAAGGCATCATCCCTAATGAGGGTGCGAGATCCCCTTCACCTCGCCGGGCTCCGTCAGTATCCCGGTAGGAGGAGGGGCACGAGCATTCCAGGAGGGGCTCTCTGCCATCCCGATCCCAGCGTTCCCGTCGTTACAGGCAAACTCCGAGGACCTCGGTGATGGACCGGATTGGTGGACAAAGGATCTCCGTGCATGACCGGATCTCATCCCGACCTGAGCCGAGCATGGAGGCGTCATCCACGGTTGTTTCATCCCACCGCCGCAGTGTGCGTGGGGGAGATCTCAGAGACGAGATCAACGTCAACCGGCAGGACCGCAGGCATCGACGATCCCCACCTTGGCAGCAGGCGGGCCAGGGCAATGAAGATCTCTGGAGGAGGCTAGACGAGCTCCGAAGGGAAGTGGACGCAAGGATTAATCCCAACCATGAGGTGAGCATTCCTGAACCGTTTGTTCGTCCGATTATGGATGCTCCGCTACCCCAAGGATACAAGCCTTGCAATATAGAGACATACCGAGGGAAGACAGACCCACATCACCATGTTTCTAGATACGTGGCGTATATGGTGATGATGGGGTATGAAGATGCCATCAACTGCAGGGGATTCTCGGTAACGCTTGACGGACCGGCCCGAGAGTGGTATGATTCCCTACCTAATGGGAGGATTCAGAACTTTAGGGAGTTGGCCCATGCTTTTGTGACTCGGTTCGCTAGCTCTAAGAATTCCAAGAAGATTTTTTCTCATCTCTTGGGGATCAGACAGGGATCCCAGGAGAGCTTGGCTGATTTCTTGACCCGGTGGAGGGACGAATCCGTGAAGGTGGACGACCTGGATAACAAGTCCGTAGTCGCCATACTAACCAACGCTCTGAGATTGGGTGAGTTGTACAAGGATTTTGTCTGGAACCCTCCAGCCTCACACGAGGAGGCCCTGCAGTGAGCAAACGTGCAAGCTGGAGTAGAAGAAGCTGAGAGAAGAAAGAGAGACGAAGAGGCCGGAAAGCGCCAACCTGAGGGCGAAAAGAAAAAGACCCTTGAGAAGGAAACCCTTGACTCCGACAAGGGGAATGGGTTCAGAAAGAAGAAGAAGGTCTGGGGAAAGGGCAAATCAGGTGTGCCTGAGGGGCCGCTCACCAACCACACATATTTCTCCCCTTCTGTGCATCAAGTAAGTACTGCCCTGGATTA